AACATATTCTTTAAAAATATGTTGTTCAGTATGGAGATTACTAAAAATCTGCAGTATTCCTCTGAGTTGAAGAAGGGAAGCTAACTGATAAATTATAGTGAATCCTAAGAGGAAACATGATTGCAAGATTAAAGGAAAAAAATCAAACTTTCAGTTATTTTTCTACATATAAATCTGGAAATTGGGATTTACAAAATTGTTGTTATTTACCTAGTCTTTCTGATAAACATGCAGAAGCCATACCTCATACATTTCTTCAGGCATTTCTCATTCCAGTGTTTGATGGAAACATTGTCTTATTTAAAAACATATCCTTCTAAGAAGATAAATCTGAAAATTTAGATGTAAGGATTTGTTCCTTCTTGAGAATGGGGGTGGGGCTCAGTGGTAGAATATGATCTTACAATGCAGGAGGCTCCAGGTTTGACCTCTAGCACCAAAAATTTATATATATATATATAAATTTGTTCCTCTGTTATTCAAATGAAGCATATTCCCTATCACAATGTGGTAACAGCTGCTGTGCCAGTGTTGCTAAACATTTTATTTCTTTTTAAATATACATGTGTGTGAAGAAAATCAATCTTTTTTAAAAAAAAGTTTTAGTTGTAGATGAACACAATGCCTTTATTTAATTAATCTATTTATTTTTAATGTGGTGCTGATGATCGAACCCAGTGCCTCACATGTGCTAGGCAAGTGTTCTATCTCTGAGCCACAATCCCAGCCCAATCCCATTCCTTAATAAGGAATGTCCGTTACTTACTAAAATAAAACACCAGACAGTGAATCGGATGAGGATGTCTTTGGTCTGATCTTTGTAATACAATAGTATTTTTCCTGCCTGGAAAAGAAAATAATATGACCAAGAGAATCACTTAAGATATATATTCTTATTTCATATTCACCCGTATTTTCAATCACTCAACAAAGCACACTTTCAGACACTGGGATCACAGGAAGAATGAAATTTTACCTCTGCCCTCAACTAGTGGAGACTGAGAGAAACAAGAGACCAAAAAAAGATGAGGTACCTCTTCAGGGAAGGAGGGAGACATCTGAGACGTGGTACCCTTGAGCTGAGGCTACAATCATGAGATGGTGAAGCAGGAGGGACACTCTGAGCATAATGGAACAGCATGCACAGAAGCATGTCAAAAAGAGTGGAAAAGCACCACAGCATCTCTAAAGGGCTGCATAAAGATAGAGGGAGGCTATGTACGTCTTGCAAAAAGGTGGTAGGCTTTGTAGGTCTTGCTTCAAGCAGGCTCTTTCTTTCATAGGTGATAGGTAGCCAAGGAAAGTTTTCCCCCAAATGACAGGATCCAGCTCAGACTAGTCTGCTAGCTCATCCCATCTGGCAGCATTACAAAAGAGGGATAGAGACAGAATGGAAGTGTGGGCAGGTAAACTAAAAACACTAAAATAGGTCTTTGCATTAAATTGAAAATTAATTTTTGGAAATATCAGAGGATGAGAAAGTGTTAATAATAATTTATAATAGCTACAAGTTATGCAGACTTTTTATGTGCCAGTTCAAAGAATTATATACAAATTATTTAATCTTCTCAACATCTCTATTCACTATGCTACTAAAGCCAGAGAGGTCAAGTAATATGCCTGAGGTTACCCAGTTATCAAGTGGCAGAGCTGGATTCAAAGCTGGGCAGTGCAGCTCTAGGTCTGCACTCTTAACCTCTACATTAGACTGACTGCTCCAACAGGCACAGATTGACCTAGAGAGCACACAGTGAGGTTCAAGGAATATATGTAAAATCATAATATAAAGTGCTATAGAGATAAAGGCAGGATTTATAACTATAAAATTATTTAATCACCAAAATATACATGGTTTAGATCAATATAGGAGCCACCAGCCACATATGACTATTTATATTTTGAATTAAATTAATTAAAAAGAAGTAAAATTTAAAATTCAGTTCCTTAGTCATACTAGTCACATTTCAATTACTCAAGAGCTATCCAGGCAAGAGGCTGCCCTAATGGATGGCACAGATAAAAATTCCCATTACTGCAAAAAGTTCTATTAGCACTGATTTATACGTTTTAACACTCTCAGTTCATTCCCTGAAAAATGAATATCACCAGTAAGAACTTTTGGAAGAAAAATAGAGACTACTCAGAATTTTAACAAAATTTCATGTGAGATAGATTAAGAATAACCTGTATTGACCTTGTCAATTATAATTTATAATAATATACATGCATACTATGTCTAGCTGTGGTACACACACTGAGGAGGCTAACAAAGGAAGATGATAAGTTCAAGGCCATCCTGGGCAACTTAGCGAGACCTGTCTCAAAATAAAATATTTAAAAGAGTTGGGAATATAGCTCAGGGGTAGAGAACTTGCCTAGCATGGGTGAAGCCCTGGGTTCAATCCCCAGTACCAAATGCACGTGTGTATAGCTAAACACTAAGTTGAAAAGAGTGCGGAGCCTCTGGGAGGTGATTATGTATGAGAGATTTTATGTCCTTATAAAAAGTCTCAAGATAAAATGTTCCTTGTCTTTGCCCTTCCACTTTCTACCACACAGGACATAGTGCTTGTCCCTCTGGAGAACACACTGTTTGAGGTGCCTTCTCAAAAGCAGAGACCGGACTTTTACCAGGCAAAGAAACTGTCAGTACCAGCACCTTGATTGTAGACATCCCATCCTCCAGAACTATGAGAAAGAAATTTCTGTTCTTTATAAATTATCCAGTCTCAGTTTTATCACAGAAGCACAAACATTCCAAGACAGAAAGAAATGTGATAAGTGACATGGTGACTTCCTAAGGTTACCAATATCCACTCTGCATATCCCACAGGGAAATCTTTTATCCAGAAATTATGGGACTAAGATAAGCCACATAAATAATATTTTTAGAATATAATAATTATATCTAACTATTTATGCTCAATTTTAACAAATTCTAGTTTTGCACAATCTGACAAACCCAAATAAAATTTATTAGACCAGTAACACAGAGGAAATGCTTGTAATTGCTTTGTTTTATTGAAATGCTTTCAAATTAGTGATGAATCAATAATCATAAGCTGTTAGAAAAACATATCCTAATAAAATAAATAAATACCTGAACTCCTAAAAATGCCATCACAATGGAATTGATGGTTCCTAAGATTCCTTCTGGATCGTAGGCCACCTTAGTGTGATAAAGGACCTTAACAAAGTAGAACAAGAAAGTAGCACTTACTCACTGACCACAAAAATTAATGTAAGAAATTCTTAGATTAAATGCAAACTTGAAAGAATTCTAGTGTTTCCAAAGTTTCTGGGTTCCTTTTTTTTTTTCTTTTGGATTTTGCTACAGAAATCCATTACCCTAACTTATGGAGATTCTAGGCAAAATACTCCAGGTTATGAAAGGTATATATAGGGAATGCACAGCACCAGGGATAAGCCATAGTTCAACAGCAGCTACTTCAACTCCATCTGGCTTGGAATAAGCCTGGTGCCACAAGCCTGACAAGTTTCAGGTGCAATATATTAGTCTTTATAATATGCATACTTATTTTCTTTTTTACCAAACCTATTGTAGCATCAATAGCTTCCTATCTTCTTCTATCTTCTTTTAAGGCAAATAACCCCTAAAAATACATTTGGGTGGGGGGGTGTAGCTCAGTGGTAGAGTGCATGCTTAGCATGTACAAGGCCTAGAGTTCATCTCCAGCACCTCCCAAAATAAAATAAAACAAATATAAAATAAAATATACTTGTATTTTTTATTATAAAATAAATGCTGAAAATGTAGAAATTTGGAAGTACTCAGGGTAGTAAATGCTGTAGCGCACCATCAAGATCCCTCCAACCCTTTCAGGACTAAAGCATTCATTACCCCAGCTGCTAGAAATATTAATTGCCAAAAGTTCTCATCCAAGTTTCTCTTCTGGATTGTGTGTGACTAAAGTCAGCTGCTAGGCCAGGTACATGGCTCAGTGGTGGAGCACTTGCTTAACATGCACGAGACCCTGGGTTCAATTCCCAGCAAGGTGAGGGTGGGGGGAGAAGTCTACCTATCTAGGAATCACCCCTTTGTTGGAAGCAGTTCATATCTGACAAGGAATATAAAGGGCCTAATTTCTCAGCACACACAGAGCAGTTCTGACGTGCCCCCAGCTCCAAATGAGATTAACTGGGGCTTTTGTCAGAACCACAGTGCAGTTCAGCTTCTCCCTCAACCAAGTCCCGCTTCCTTCATTCTTCAACAGGGATTGATCCACCAAGGACTTCCCACTACACTTCTAGCACATGAAGCTCTTTCTCAAACTCCACTGCCTAGAAATCTAACCTGAGATATATAGAAAAGCACTAAAGTGCTACTCATTTAATACAATGCATTATCACTTTATCCTTAAAAATAATGTTCATCTACTGCCACATAATGAATGCTGAAGTCATTAAGGTAGACAACTTTTAGTTTCCATCCCATTTTACATAGCTGAACATTTTGCATGGTCTAAAACTGATGGTTCTTTTTATTTTCCCTCACTTTGGAGACCCTAAGTTTCCCAGGTCCAAGGACTTGCCAGTCTCACGTACTGTGGAAGAAGGGTGCTGGTAAAGATGATCATCTCCCAGAAGCAGGCGATCAATGTAGCCAGCAGCTCCTCCTGTACAATTTGGATATTTCCCAAAATCTCCAATACCACCAGGGCCAAGATATCCACTAGGAAAGTGAAAAACATACTTAAATTATGAGACTTCAGGGGCTAGGGTTGTGGCTCAGTGGTAAAGCTCTTGCCTTGCACATGTGAGGCACTGGGTTCAATCCTCAGCATCACATAAAATAAATAAGTAAAACAAAGGTATTGAGTCCATGTTCAACTAAAAAAAAATTATAAGACTTCAGAAGACAGAGTGGTATATAGTGACTATATGCAGCCCAATTCAAAGATCCTCAAACATGTATAAGCATCCCTCTGGCTCCAAGCACTCTCATTAATGCTCTTTTGACTTAATGGCTCCCCACATGGATAAGGTAGTAAACACAATTTCTACACAAGCTGACCAAACACCAAACTTCCCTCCCAATGCCAAGTATGCCCCAAAGGAGAAGAGTGAAATAGAATTCCTCTGACTTGAGAAATTTGAAAGCTGAAAGCCCAGAACCTCTCACTTGGCAGAAAGTGACATATGAAAAGGGCTTACTTATGTAGGGCAAGGGTTCACTTACGTAGGGCACCCAGGAACTGGTAATAAGAACGTTAAGCCCAGCCAAATGCTTTCCAGAATCAGAATGAAGAGCCACTGGGGCCAGCTGGCAGTGATGTCTCGAAGAAAAGGGCAGCTTCTCTCCTGAGGGCAGAAGAAAAAAACACATATAAACCCAATGCAAACAGAATAGCACACGTATTTGGGAAATTCCAAGTGATTATTCTTTTGATCTCTATAGCAGTAATTCAAATTTTTATCTAATAATATAAAGTTTGTCTATCTCTCTCTTTCTCTCTGACTCTGAAATATAACAGTAAAAATATTAGTTAAAAAGAAATCAGGGGGCTAAGGATGTGGCTCAATGGTAGAGCACTTACTTAGCATGCATCAGGCCCTGGGTTCAATCCCAAGCATGCAAAAAAAAATAATAATAATAATAACAATGATAGAGATTAAATAAAAATAGCTTAATAAAGGAGGGAAGGAATACATTTGATTAGTACAAACACTATTATAATCAGAACTTAAAAAAAATACTAAAAACTAAAAAGTGAACTTTTTCATGTCTCTTTTAAAAAAAACAAAACAACAACAAAACCGTGATTTCTCACCAAAACACAATTTTCAAGCATGGGTTTAGCAAAGAGGAGCTCCAACACAGCAACCACAAAGTAAGTTACTCCCAACCGCTGCAGGACACCAGGAATTCGCACCTTATCCCAAGACACTGCAGAAGATACAAGTTAGGTAAGGGATTACCCAAAATTTCTCATCGCATCCCAAAACAATTTACTTTTTTAATGAAGGGAAGACATACTCTTATTACATCTAAATAAGTCTTTTTAAGTTCTTGAAGCAGAAATATACATAGTCAGAAGACAAGGCTCAAATCCAAGCTCCAAGAACAGACCAATACGTTCATCAGAAGGATGGTCAGGAATATGGCTCATCCTCAAAATATGAAGCTGGCCGACTGGGAGACCAAGAGCAAAGGTGTCTTACTCAGGGGACAAAGATAAAACAAAGATAACCTTTGGCCTTCAAATCCACCAGGAATCTGCAGACCCAACACAAGACAGTGACTGACTCTCCTTGCCCAACAAGCTCCGGGACTGTACCAATGGAAGAGTACAACCCTATAACAAACCCTGTGATGAATACTACTGGGAGCAATGGCTCATTCTTTGGAAATGCATTAAATCTGCTTTTAGGTGACATCAACCAGAAATGATCTCTACTTCCTCTTAGTGCCTATAGCCTTTCAATAAAATGACTTATTGCCTGGGGGCTTGATTGGCTACTACCCAGACATTTGTGTCCTCTTTTGCTAATGACAGAGTAAGCCCCTTGAGGACAGTGACTACTGCCTTTCCTGATTCTGATACTGGTATAAAGTGCAGAATTGATATCCTTTCTTCAGCTATCCTATCTCACTCACTGCAACCAACAAAGTAATAACAAAGATATCATCCTTCCCAGACAGCCAGTTAGCATACAAGGGATGAGGAAGGTAAATTCTTAAACTATCACCCCAAACTATAAGTTGGTGAATCCAAAATGGCAGAGCAGGGCCTTGAGAGCAAGGTAACCTGGTCTGGCCCTCTGCCCTGCTCCTCACGATCCAGAGAAAACACATCAATCTTTCTTGGCATTGGATATTTCTCTCATACAATAGGAGAGATTGAGTAGTTGTACGGATTGCTGCCAGGTCTAAAATTCCAAGATAATAATAATGTTGATGATGCCCAAAGTTACACAAGTACTGTATGTATTTTTCTAAAGTTGTTCTTTTTGCAGGTACCTGAGATGGAGGAATTACATTTCTTTCAAATTACAACATATAGGCCTGGGGGGGTGTAGCTCAGAGGTACAGCACTTGTCCAGCATCTGCAAGGACCTGGGTTCCATTCCGAGCACCACAAAAATAAATAAATAAATAATAACATGATTTTTCTACTTTCAAGTGAATATATACCAACAAAAGGGAAAAAAACACTTACATGGACCAAGACAATAATTGGGATTCACGATGAAAATTCCTATATAGATTAACAGGAAACTCCTCCATGCAATTTTCCCCAGCAATTTGAATTTTGAACATCCTCGCTGCAGTATAGAAGTCATTGATAGAAAAATTGAAGATCCCATAATAAATACAAACCTAAAATACAAAACATGCTATTAATAGGTGGTCATTTTGTATGAATATGTAACAACAAACCCCATCATTATGTACAACTACAGTGCACCAATAATAAAAAGTGGGTTAAAAATAGGTGGTCAATTACTAATTTTTTATCTAAATATCATTAATATTTTATAATATACTACATGATAGAAGCAGTACATTCAGTTTAAAGTAGCCAATTATGAAATCAAGCTGGGCTAATAACATAGAAAAGAATCAGAACATAGTCCTGGTGGGCTGTGAGGTTTTGACAACATATATCCAAGTTCTATTTTAGGAGGAAACTTCTTTAGTATTAAGTGGAATTGCCAAGGACAACTCTCCCAAACAGTTGTCAAAGAGAAATTATAAGAAAGATGCCATAATCCAAACAACTGATTTTTTATTAGCATACCCTCACAGACCTTGAGAAACAAGCCAAACACTTCAATCATTTCTAAATCCACTCCTGCTCCCTCCAAAAATGAAAGCTTAACTTTTTTCTCCATTTAGTCACACGTATTTCCCCTTTCTTTTATCATGCAAAATTCTCTCTTTAATGAAAATTCTAATATTAAGTTTCCTAGTTATTTTGCAAAGGGTTATGGAAGTGAGAACTTGCTCTTGCTGTATTCTCAGAGGTGCCTTGGCTTCCTTTCTAGGATCAATCTAATCAGAAAATTCCTCTACAAACAGGAACTTTCCTATAGGGAATCCCACAGGGAATATACTTAGAGAACTACCAGGTCCCTGTAGTATGCTGTTTTTAAATCTTTTGGTTATAGACCAAGGAGAGGAATAGCTGGGTCAAATGGTGGTTCCATTCCCAGATTTCCAAGGAATCTCCATATTGCTTTCCATATTGGCTTGCACCAATCTGCAGTCCCACCAGCAGTATATGAGTGTACCTTTTTCCCTACATCCTCGCCAACAATTATTGTTGTTTGTATGCATAACAGCTGCCATTATGACTGGAGTGAGATGATATCTTCGAGTAGTTTTGATTTGCATTTCTCTAATTGCTAGAGAGGATGAACATTTTTCATATATTTGTTGATTGATTGTATATCGTCTTCTGAGAAGTGTCTGTTAGATCCTTGGCCCATTTGTTGATTGTGTTATTTGTTTCTTTGGTGCTTAGCTTTTTGAGTTCTTTATATACCCTAGATATTAGTGCTCTATCTGATGTGTGAGGGGTAAAAACTTGCTCCCAGATGTATGCTCTCTGTTCACCTCACATCAATGTTTAGAGTAGCACAACTCACAAAAGCTAAACTGTGGAACCAACCTAGATGCCCTTCAGTAGATGAATGGATAAAAAAATGTGGCATATATACACAATGGAATTGTACTCAGCAATAAAAGAGAACAAAATCATGGCATTTGCAGGTAAATGGATGCAGTTGGAGAAGATAATGCTAAGTGAAGTTAGCCAATCCAAAACAACAAATGCTGAATGTTTTCTCTGATATAGCAGGATAGGGAGGGGGAGCATGGGAGGAATAGATGAATTCTAGATAGGGCAGAGGGGTGGGAGGGAAAGGGAGGGGACAGGGTATTAGCAAGGGCAGTGGCATGTGATGGACATCATTATACAAAGTACATGTATGAAGACACGAATTGGTGTAAACATACTTTATATATAATCAGAGATATGAAAAATTGTGTTGTATATGTGTCATAAGAATTGTAATGCATTCTGCTGTTGTCTATTTTTTTAAAAAAAATCAATTCAAAAAAAGAGAGAACTACCAGGTCTTCACCTATGTAAAACTGCCCTACCCATACGCATCTCAAAAAATCAAGACTTCATCAGTGATAAAAAATGGAACCAACGATATATAACAATCTTCTGGTACTGTTTCTTAATGATGGAGCTAAGGTGCTCAAAGCATCACAGCAAAGACACAAATTGCACAACATATACAAAGTGTCCCTGAACAAAAATGAGAAGCCCTGGATGAACAGAGTATGGGTAGCACTATTATAATAAATTTCAATTTATTACTGTCACTGCTTGCTACATATTTATCATTATTCACAGACATACTATGTTTCTTTCAGAAAATATGATTTTATATGCATTTTTGGACTAGTAGAACTTAACTATATATTCAAAATTTATAATATAGGATTTTAGGATCTAGTATATCCTATCTGTTCAGCATAATGTTCCCTAAAAAATCACTCATCTTTTGGAATAGAGCTGTAGCTCTATGGGAGAGCATGTGCTTAGTGTGCACAAGGTCCTGGGTTCAATCTCCAGAGCCACAAAAGAAAAACAAAAAACACTTATCTTTTCTACACACATGCACAAACATGAAACCAAGTATAACAACAACCCATTGATGCAACTTTTGGAAGGACTCTGTAACAGCCAACACAGGCCTATGGTGCAGAACTCAAGGCTGGTCTCAGAGAAGGCCTCCAGCATCATTTGAAAGAAAGAACCAGAGATGCCCCATGGAAGAGCTGATGGTTAGAATGCCAACTCACCATGGGAACACAAGGTCAGCCACTGTCAGTCCTGCAGAATAACACAAGCACAAATGGAAAGAGGATTCTTGAATATAAATACTTCTTAAATTCAAAATGAACATAATTGTAATTGACACAGAAAGTACAACTAACATAGAGGACACACACACACACACAAACTCTCTTGAGACTCTGCAGCCATTCCACAGGCTTGGAACATTTCCTGACTATATCTAAACATGGGACAACAAATTACAAGTATGTAGACAAGTTTGCTAGCTTTATACAATGCTATTCAAAATTTATTGCTTCCCCCCACCCCCCGAGATGTTCTCTGTTTTGCAGCAGAATGTCTAATGGACAATGTAACTGTAAATATTCAGCTGCATAAAAAGGAGCTAACATTTAGGCACAAATGGGAGACATGACTCTTTTGTTTTAAAATAAATACTTGAATACAATTTGGGTCCTACAAGAATTTGGGCTCCAGATCTGATGCAGAGGTGCCTTACCCATGGACCTGCAATGACATCATTAATTCCCTCCCAGGAATCAATACATGGAACCTGGGTACCAATGGTCAAACATGATCACAATGAGATAGATAGATAGATAGATAGATAGATAAAAATCTTTCCCCAGCCCTCTACATATATGAACTGTCCAGGACAAAGACTACTGGAATTTCACAAAAATCATTGGTCCAGCCAGGTGCAGTGATGCACACCTGTAATCCCAGCAACTTTGGAGGCTGAGGCAGGAGGATCGCCAAGTTCAAAGCCAGCTCAGCAACTTAGTAAGGACCTAGGTAACTTAGTGGGATCCTGTCTCAAAAGAAAAAAAATAAAAGGACTGGGGATATGGTTTAGTGGTTAAGCACCTCTCTGTTCAATTCTCAGTACAAAAAAAAAAAATCAGTGGTCCATAACAGGTAAGTATTCTAAATGATTCTCTTGGTTCCTAGAAAATCTATTCTTAAACCAACTGCCAAGCCAGATTACAGCTATGATTCAGCACCACTCAGATCAATCCCAGTTTGATAGCACCAAAAAGGACCATGAGTCTTAAAAGATAGACTCCCCAAGAATATGGTAGCTGTCATATCTATGACAATGATCATTTAAAACCAAATTCTTCACATCTTCTGCTGAGTTCCAAGTGTCAGCAGAAATATTTCTGTTACTCTAGTGAAGCATCCACACATTAGAGATCAGATTCACACATTAGAGATCCGCAGCACACAAGAATTAAACTAAAGGGCCCACAGAAAAATCTAAAGGTCATTCTCTGGGGGAAAGAGCTCAATAGCTCAGAAGAGGTTGGTAGGGCCTCATCCCTTAGAGGAAATGCTGAATGATTCTTCAGATGCCAGTTCTCTGAATGAAACTGCAAGCAAAGTTACCTTGAGGTAACTTACCATTCCAACTCGAATGTTTGAAGTACCAATATTTTCCTCCTCCGTAATTAACAAAAACCATGAGTATGAGAGCTAGCCTGTAAAGTCAACAAAAAGAACACTTTCACAGTGTGCAAGGTGACAAAGAATGGTTGAACTCCAAGACATTCCTTTATACTCACAAGGTTAGTCATGCAATAATGTGATTCTACACAGCAGTTTGTATCACCAGAAGAAATATAAAGGCAAGACACTATTGTCCGCAACAATTTTCACAACAATTAGGATCATCCGCTAATGTTCTGTTGCAAATATTTCCAACATGTTTAAAAAAAAAAAATTGTACTTTACTACTAAGCTATATAACTTGGGAACACAGCAAAACATTTCCAGTAACTCAATTGTGTGCCAATAATTTGATGTCTCAGGTTAAAGAACTGTTATAGAAGGTACAGAGTCACTGGAATCAAAGAGCTAAGGATTCATATCCTGAGTCTTTTTCTCTTATTAGTCATGAGACTTTACACTAAGATTCAATTAACTCTGTACAATACCCTACCACATGACTATGTGGTTGGCACATTTGGGGCGCTTAATAAATGCTAGCTTCTGTTCACCTGTAAATATCTTATCTTCAAAACTAGCAATGATGATTGGAAAGAAAGAAGAAAACAGTAGATTCTGAATATGCTATCATTTGGTCCTAACTGTGCAGAATGCAGAAAATAAAGACTTTAGTATATAAGGGAATAATCTGTGGGGCCTCTGTAACTCAACTAACTGGAATCAAATTCTGGCTTTAGTACCTGAGTGACCATGGGAAAATTACTTACCCCTGGCTCAATTCATCTGTGAAACAGGCATATTAAAAGTGTGTACCTGGGGCTAGAATGTGGCTCATTGCTAGAGCACTTGCCTAGTCCATGTGAGACACTGGGTTTGATCCTCAGCACCACATAAAAAATAAATTAATAAAATAAAGGTATTGTGTCCATCTACAACTAAATATAAATAAATAAATAAATTTAAAAGTGTATACCTATAGGAATGTTAAGAGACTAAATAAATTAAGACAAGTTAGGGAAGTGATAGCTGTTATTTGGATATGAGATATCTCTAAAAAAGTTCATGTGGCAATGCCCGAAGATCTGATTAGATTACAAAAGCCATAACCTAATCAGTGGACTGATCCATTTGCTGGATTATTGGGTGGTAACTGAAGGCAGATAGAGCGTGGCTGAAGGAAATAGATCAGTTGGGGAATATATTTTGTCCCTGTCCTCTGCTGCTATGAGCTGAGCAGCTCTCCTTCACCACACCCTTCCACCATGATGTTATGCCTCACCTGGGCCCAGAGCAATGGAGTCAGTTAATCATGCATGGACTGAACCTCTGAAAACATGACCACAAGATAACCTTTTTCTCCTCTAAGTTGTTCCTGTCAGGCATTGTGGTCACAGTGATGAAAAACTGACTAACACATTGGCACACAGAACTTTAAAACTGTTAGCAAATTTATTATTGTCATTATTGCTATATTGTTTTTACTTGAGTATCTCTAATCTAAAATGCTCCAAAAATCAAAACTTTTTTAGTGCTGAAATGATGCCATGAATGGAAAATTCCACACCTGACCTCATGTGACAAGTCACAGTCAAAATGCAGGCATGGGGCTGGCAGTGTAGCTCAGTGGCAGGACATGTGCTTAGCATGTATGAAACCCTACATTCAAAATTTCCAGCACCAAACAAAACAAAACAGGCACACTAAAAAGACTGTCTGAAATTACCTTCAGGCTATGTTTAGATGTAAATGAAACAAAACTGAATGGTTTAACTATGGACTTGCTATCAAAAGAGTCTGATTTTCAAATTGTTCCACCAACAGTGAAGGATGACCACTTACTCTTCCACAGGCTGGTGTTTCATTTCTGGACTGGCATGTCTTCTAAATTGTCAAGCTACTGACTGGACATGGTGGCCCAGTTTATAGTCCCAAGTATAGCCATTTGCTCAAATGCAAATGACCTTAACTCAGCAGGCTGTATACAGTAGTGGAAACTGGCTCTGGCCTTGTCCTACTCCTCTTATCAATGTACTCTAATGGACATCATAACAATTTTCTTTATTTTTTAAATTTGCAGTGCTGGGGATCAAACTCAAGTCCTTGTATATGCTAAGCACACATTCCACCACTGAGCTATATCTCAACCACTTATCATGACAATTTTCAAGTAAGGAAAGACTGCAGACTTTATTTTTATATCCAAACAATACTTTCTAGCCTAGAAAGTAATGGATATGTAAAAAATATCTCAAGTTAAGTGTGTTTATGTGTAATTACATAATCTATCAAGGACCTGTGCCCACCATGTCACAAGGGAGCCTCACATACCCCCTGAATGTGTCCACACAACGGAGACGGTATGGCGAGCCCACCTGGCGCCACATTTCTGGTTGGATATCACCACTAAGAGGGTCTGCCCTGCTTGGGGACCCCAGCTCCTTTAGAAAAAATAGAGAAAGAGATGACAATCAATAAAAGGGAGGAGTAAATTTCATTACTCAATATATTAGGAAAAAAATATTAGTGGAAAACTAAAGATAGTTTTCTGAATAATCATTTAGTTTTGTTTAGTTTTATTTTGGTTTTCCACTTTATTTGCTTTTGGTGCATTTTGTTGAGTAAGTACAAGGACAGAAGCAAACATGCCCATAATTTATTAGCACAAATTTCATGCAATATTTAATCATTAGAGTGGGCCATTGGTAATTATAGAGTTAATGTCAATGTCCCATATTCTTTGGTTTTGATCTTGACAATCTTTACTTAACTGAATGGTTTGAACAGTGCTGCCTCCAGACTGGAAAATGTCCCCATTGAAGAAAGAAAAGGGTGGAGCCTTCATAGAAGCTGAGGACTAGGCAGCTCTTTATTAAGGATATGGGTCAGGCTGGGATGTAGCTCAATGGTTGAGTGCTTGTCAGCATGTGCAAGGCCCTGGGTTCAATCCCTAGCACCATGGGGGTAAAAATTTGGGATCCTCAACCTGGTTTTTCCATAATGTAAACAAAGTTTATTGAGCTGGGCAATACTATTTACTAAATAGGAAATTAGAAACTCCAAATTTAGAAAACCAGACAATACATGATGTATCCCAATAACTCACAGAATTGATGAGGCGATCAGTTTCTCGAGAATTTATTGCCTTAGAAATCCAATTACTGAAGTCATCCAAACTGTAAATAAATAAAAGCTTTAGTTAATTCATTTTCTTTGGTATAATTTTCAAAACAATTGGATAACATATTGAAATAAAATTAATTGAAGGTTCATATTTCTATTAGTTAAAGAGCTAAACACTGAAGAAGTTTTTTAACAACATAACAATAGAAATCAAAATTTATAGCAGCCATACTTATAAGTATTTGACCCCTTACAGAATAACTTCCTCATCAGTAAAACAGAAACAGTGATGAAGCCTCTAATGAAGAGTTGTGAAAGTATTAATGATATTATTAAAATTAAAAAAGCAAAAAATTTGGCAACAACCGATATTTACTCAATATAAGAATGACTCAACACAGGATACAGCACCTGTGTGATACAATGACACAGTGATGAGAATAACAAGACTATAGGCTCTGAACAAAGAATGAAGATAAGCTATTATATACGAAAAGCAAAAACCCAACATAGATGGTTGATTGCAACTAAGTAAAAATGCATGTGTGTGCACTGAAAAAGTGTGAAGGCAACTTTGTAATGATTCAAATACTATATTGGGTTCTTTTTCCCCACATGGCTGATTTAATCCAGGAAAAAAATCCAGATGACATTAAGTTATTATATGATTACAAAAATATAAATATATTAGCTGGTTGTTCTTTAAATAACATTTTCACCTGGGGAAAAAAAACTTTCAAAAAGTGTACCTTAGCCTGGCAAAAAACAAAACCACTGATATGTGTTGCATTAATTTTGCCACATCTGAATTACCTAATGCATAAAACTTTTTGTTCTGTCATGAAACTTTTCAAACAGAATGAGAAAAACTAGCACACTGAATTGCCATCATTCAACTCCAACAAATATACCCACACACGGTCAATCTTATTTCATCTATACACTACCCACCACCGTCATTTATGATTAATTTATAGAAAAATCCCCAAAATCATTCATCTCATCCATAAATAATTCAATGTGTATCTCTAAAAGATAAGGACAATTTTTTCTTCTAAACATTATCATGTTAATATGTTAAGCAGTAATTCCTTAATATCATCACATAGCCAGTTCAGTTTTGATCCTGTAAATTATTTTTGACAGTTCAATTGTTCAAATCAGCATCAAAATATAATCCATACAACACACACATTTGTAATTTCTCTTTTACTCCTACAATACAACTCCCATTTCTAGTTTATTCAGCATTAATAGTGTCACTATCACATGAAAAATCTTAAAATAGATATACTTAAGGAAAGGCAAAAAGGAGAAGTGGTAATTCTCTTGCACGTGCTTGTTCTCCAAGTGAAAGCAGAGAGACTTTGTTCTTTCTACCTTTGCTGCTTCTCTTCTGGTTCCTACTAATACTAACTTCCCCAGACTTCCATGGGTATGTTGGAAAGCAATGGAGCAAGAGTAAGGGACTGTAGTTTTGTGGAGAGTAACACTCTGCCCACAGGCAGGAGAGGCAGAACCACATGCAATAGAAGTTTCAGCCCCACAGTGGGACAAGATGGAACTTCTCTTTGCAAGTGCTTGAGCTCAGCTCTCAATTACTTTAAAAAGAAATGGAACAGAACCATTCACAGATAAGCACCTCAAGTGAAAGCACATCAACAAGACAGACACTGGAATATAGGTGACTCTATGACCAGTGTGATTCTGCAATCTGTACAATCAGAAAAATGAGAAATTATACCCCAATGATTCAAATGTATGAAAAACCAGAACTCCTCTGAATTTTATTCTCTTCCTAGAATTCTATTCTGCCCCTAAAAAGCCATTAGGTTAAACATGTGCTTCTATGAAGCAAGAAGTTCTTTTACCTTTTTATACCAGTCAAGTTTTGCATACAAGGAATTAAACTATTTCTAAGATGCACAAGCTAGAAGGAAAATGGTGCATAAATTCCCCTAAAGTTTTAAGATTTCCTCAAGCTAATCAACTTTTTTTTGTACTGGGGATGGAACCCAGGGGCATTTTACTACGGAACCCCATCCCCAGCCCTTTTAAATTTTTATTTTGAGACACGGTCTCACAAAATTGCTCAAGGCCTCACTATATTGCTGAGCTGGCCTCAAACTTGTGATACTCCTGCCTCAGCCACCTGAAGTGATGGGATTACAGGAGTGAGTCCTCATGCCCAGCAAAGGTGAGGTTTTCATTTTTCCAATTTGGATACAGTTCACCAATAGTCTTTTGATCCTTCCTGATATCCTAACAGGATCGATCTTATTCCTTTTATTCCAATCAATCTTCTTCCTTTTAAAACACTAAAAAACTTTGCTTCAACCAGGTCTGGATCAATTCTATGTTCAAATTTTTTCTTCTCTAGTCTACTAATTCATTCACCAGACTGGCTGTTAACTAGGCAGAGAAGAACAAATCCCTCAAGTGAGCAACTCTACAAAAGGGAGTCTGTGGGATTCTGAAGTACAGCCCCTCATCCTCCCTCTTTGCCCCCAGTTCCTGGCCTGGGAGAGGAAAGGAAAGTTGGACAGAGGGGTGGCCTCAGGGTTCAGAGGCTAAGAGGAGGAAGAGAGCACAACACAGCAGCCTCCTCCTAAAATTATCACAAGCCACTTCCACTCACTGAAAAGCAGGATGGGAGATTATTTAGGAAAAAATTATTACTCAAGTGTTTTCTTTATTTTTGGCCACGTGGGAGGATGGAAGGCAAACATTCATGAGAACTTTTGTCAAAATTTCCTTACAGAGACCGTATCTTAGTCTACACTGATTTTAATGCCTAGGACTAGAATAGACACGGTAGACACACAAATGTTCACTTAATCAAATAATAACGTTCATGTTTGTATGTTTTTAGAGACTCTGCTAGGATCAAATAATAGTCATTTGAGGGATCAAACTATCCTTTCTGAATATATTATCTCTGTGTTCTGTCCTCCACAGTCATTTCCTCTCCAACAACTTACCTCAGCAACAGCCTTAGGAAGGATATTGCAATGACGAGGGACAGACCAATAAGGAACGCAATACTCACAGCTATAAAAAGAAAGACATTATCACCAAAAATGTCATCATAGGAACCAAAGTTGTCACATCATTAAATCTAACCTATCAATTAAAAATGAAAACAATACAGGAAAAGCCTACATTTTTTATATTAAATTTCCTATAAACAAGAAACTACTCTGCATGAGGGGAGTACTAATTTTTATTATGAAAAATATCAAATATACACAAAATTATAGGGAATTGTAAAATAAACCCATATATATCCACCACTCAAATTCTAGCATTGTCAAGATATTGTCACTCTCAGGACTGGGGGTTAGCTCAGTGGCAGAGCACTTGCTTAGCAAGAGTGAGACCTGGGTTCTATCCCCAGCACTGCAAAAAGAAAACAAAGAAAAAATAAAAAGAAAAAGATATCATTCGCTTCATCTATTACTAATTCTCCTCCCTTTTTTGGGGGGGGGGGGTAATGTATTTTAAAATCAATCCCAGACATCACGTCCCTATACCCCTACAGTATTCAGTATGCATTCAGTATGTACCTCTAATGCAGATGAACCTCTATAAGACATCAACCTCATGAACTTCCTGACATAGCATACCTAAAAGGTGACAACATCGCTCTGGTAGTATTCTACCAAAAAATGCAAAACCTTTACCTACTTTACCTACTCATGAGAAAACATCAAGTAACTCCAAATCCAGGGATAATCTATAAAATACTAGCCAGTACTCTTCAAAACTGTCAAGATCATGAAAGAAAAGGAAAGGCTGAGAAACTGTCCTAGATTGAATGAGATGAAGGAAGAACTGACACCTAAATGTACATGGATCCTAGATTGGTCCTGGACCAGAAAATGGACATCAAAAGGGACAATTTGAAAAATTTAAATAAGCCTAAATAGATCAGTATTATAAGAATGTTAAGCACCTGGTTTCAATAATTGCACATGAACTACTCTTACTATGATTATACAGTTTAAGGGTATAAGGGCAGCCAGGTAAAGGGTATTTAGGAGTTGTTTTGTTTTGTTTGCAACATGTTTGTAACCTAAAACTATTTCAAAATCAAAAGTTTCTTTAAAATGAACTATTTCCTTAATATAACTACAAGGTGTTACAAAATTTAACAAAAATTTTCTAGTACTGAAGAAGCAACTTCTGCAATTGACCATGTAACTGGCAGATGTGTTAAGCTGGTAAAAGCCTGATCCCTCCAGTGTAAAGTTCCCCTTTCATCTGAGGATTTTTGCAAAATTATTTCATTAGGACTTGCAAAATAACCTACCATTCGGCCACATTAGCTGGGATTCTAAAAAGAAGCCATGCTCATCAATTAGTACAATTTGGTTATCTTTTTCAATTATAGTTAAAACAGGATAATGTTTAAATCTTTCCTTTCAACCGATACTTTTAAATCACCCTAGTCAACACAAGTGCCCTAGTTACCTCCAAAGACAACCAGAGTATTACTTTGTTTTTGTTTTTAATTGGGGAGGGGGCCTCACTCTAATTTCATAATGATCCCATAGTTTTTATGTATCCATTATTTTTCATCAATGACATTTATTTTTATTTTTAATGCTTAAATTGTCCCATATTGGTCCTTTCATATTGTCTTCTACATTCTTCTGCAATAACTTTGGACTCTGATATTTCTCTGTGAACTGTGTATATTAGTGCCACAGGGATTCATTACTGTGTCTTGAAAGGCAAGAGAACAATTATCTAATGGAGAGCTCAGGATGACAGATTTTCTTCAATGGAATTATTATAGAATGAATAATCCCTTCTTAATGTAAAGGGAACCTCTGGGCTCATTATCAGTAGACACATACAGGAAATACTACACCCTAAATCCTAAAACAAGGAAAGCCAATTATCCTATTTCTTACTTCTTTCCATTGAATTAATTTTTTTATTTATTTATGATTCATAATTAAGCTTAATAATGATATGGGGATATGTTGATATATTATACAATTTTTAATATATCACCTAATTTTCTTAGTGTACATCAGTGACACAATAAAAAAATATTACAATTGGGCTGGGAGGCATGACAAGTGCTTACTACCAAACACAAATCCTAAGGGTTCTATTTCTAGCACCAAACAAAAATATAATCATACCAAAACTAAATGGTATAGATATCTGTAAGCCAGATTTTCATTTATATGCTATAGACTGCTTCAATTTACAAAGAGTACTCAAAAACTAAAACCTCCGGAAATGCAAATTTAAAAAAAAAAATCAACGAAGAGCATATACATACAAAGGTCACTGTCAACTGGATTCTTATTAACAACTAGGTCACACGCAATTTCACTGACTCCATTGTAAGTGTCCTTTACCAAGACAGAATAGTTTCCAAATTCTCCAAATTTGTATTCCAGCCTAAAAGGATGAGATAAAAATATGACAAATGGCTAGATTAGGGACAGAGTTGGACTTTCCCAATTCACCAAGGGAAAATGATATTCCTTTCTGGGTATAGATCAGTAGAGATAAAATATATTTAAGAGAGTAAAAACAAAACCACATAAGAAAAAAAGTAGAGAGAAAACTCAGACTTAAATTAGATCACATCAAAGCAAAAACGAACCTACAAACTTCTTTCTCTTCCAGGGTATCATTAATTTGTAGAACAGATTTGTGCTGGGTACTGACAGAGACTGCTGCAATGCTGGGTTTCCCAGGTTTCCCACTCTGAGAAACATTTACCAGAAACTGAAACAAGCACTGTAAGATAAATGCACAACAGGTAAACTGTGAGGGGTTTTCTGCAGTGTTACAGACCAAACCCAAAACCCAGGGTCTTTAGCAGGGCTGAGTTATCCCTACAGCCCTGTTAGGGGATTTTTAGAGTCTCTGGGTTGATGGGGGACATGACTACACAAATGAAAATCCTATCATGAATTTTCCTTCACACTTATGACTTAATGTAAAATTTACCAATTATTTTATACTAAAACAATGATTGTTGCTATGAACTAACAATCTCCACAAATTGGCAAGTCTAGCCTACATTAAATCTTGCATCCTATTGTTTTACTTATTATTTAACAAGTAAACTTCCATGATTGTACATAACATACACTTTACAACACTTAATGGATGCCCCATATTTCAACCATCACTATAATTGTGTGTACTTGGGATGGTTTCAAAGCTTTTCTGTTTTTCCTTTTGATGTTTTTTGTTATATAAATATGCTGTTTTAAAAGATCTCCACATGAGATTCTCTTTCCTTTAAATTCTTTCCCTGAGGTAAATTTCCAAAAGTAAGATTACTAGATAAAAAGTAATCCTTTTAATGATTCCTGTTACAAGTGGTCAAATAGTACACAAATAAGAAAAATTACAGGGGCTGGGGATATGGCTCAAGCAGTAGCGCACTCGCCTGGCATGTGTGAGGCACTGGGTTCGATCCTCAGCACCGTATAAAAATAAAATAAAGATATTGTGTCCACCTAAAGCTAAAAAATAAATATTAAAAAAAGAAAAATTACAAACATTTTATTTGTTTATTATTATTATTTTTTTAATGTGGTGCTGGGGATCAAACCCAGTACCTCACACTTGCTAGGCAAGTGCTCTACCACTCAGCCACAACCCCAGCCCATCTTGCTAGGATTTTTATATAATTCTTATATTTGTTCATTTACTAGGTATCTATTTCACAACTTTAAGAATGAATTTTAAATTATCTAGAGATGAAATGGGTCAGTGCTTTTGCTATTTTGTTTCCATGTTGTGAGCCATAAGACCTCAAGTTCTCCTGAACTTAATCTGAGAAATGTCCCCATATACTGTAATAATAAATTTTTAACCATCTCAAGTATTTTTCCATTCTGCTACTTCCATTTCATCTTGTTATATTTTATTATTTTTAATTAAAGTTTTTAAATTTTTAGATAGTCATACTAATCTGGCTTATTTCTTCTATTGCTTTATTAATTTAAAAACATTCCGCTTTTCTTTTCTTTTTTTAGTTTGTGGGGTATACTTTTTAAATTTAATCCCCTTGGAGTATTTGATAGATGAAATATAGTAATTTGAATTATCTTCCCCATAATTTTAGTCATAATACTTTGTATTCTTTTTTTTTTATTTCCAAAACTGGGGATTGAACCCCATGGCACTGTACCACTGAACTATATCACCAACACCAACCCCTCTTTCTTTTTCTTTTTCTTTTCCTTTTTTTTTTTTTCTTTTTCTGAGACAAGGTCTCACTAAATTGCACAGGATGGCCTTGAATTTACAATCCTCCTGCCTCAGCCTCCTGAGAAGCTGGGATTACAGGCAGGTACCACTATACCTGGCTAAGAAAATCAGGTTTTGAATCTTAAATTTAACATCTTATAAATATTTGTTGGAAAAAAATGTTTGTTAGACCATAATATTTTAAATTTCAGCTGATATATTTATTGTAATTTATTTTTTTCCTGAGCCTATGGTTTTTTCGTTTGTTTTTTGTTGTTTATACATTTTTTTTAGTTGCAGATGCACACATTACCTTTATTTTATTTATTTATTTTAGGTGGCTCATTGAACTCAGTGCCTCACATGTGCGAGGCAAGTACTCTATCTACCACTGAGCCACAACCCCAGCCCCAATTTATTGTAATTTCTAATATTTTTAATTCTCATTATTCCTTTAAATTTATGAATTCTACGACTTTTAAGTTTTAAACATTTCTTGACTCTTTTTCGCAATTCTTCTCATGACTAATTTAAATACTTACTACTTTTTTTATACCTTTATTTTATCTATTTATTTTTTATGTGGTGCTGAGGATCGAACCCAGTGCCCAGCACATGCTAGGCGAGCGGAGCGCTCTATCACTGAGCCACACCCCAGCCCAAATACTTATTACTTTCATTGCTTCCCTTTTTTGTGTGTTAGATGATTACATTGTTTGCTTGCCAAAACTTTGAGATTGATACCAACAGTTTTATACTTCCCTTTTTCATTCTCGTTAATAAAGCAGAACTCTGATAAAGCCTCTGGCCACAAAAAGTCACTGTATGTATCTTAATCTAGGTCTCACCATTTGTAAAATCCTCTCTATTCTACTATTGTGAGTATGTATTCAATTCCCAGTAACACCTCCCACCCAAAAAAATTGAAATAATGTTTTGTAAGAATTTCTTTCGCCTGACCTAAAGATTTTTCATTGAAATACTTATATTATATGGCTATTTCATTAGTTTGTTTTCTGTTGTGCAAAGGAATGTGGGATATATAATCCCTCCTTTTGCTATCTATTTATTTAGTCTCATTTGACCTCACATATGATCAATGTTATTGTGAAATAAATATAGATATTGTTGGAGCTATCTATTTTTTTCTATTTAATTCCTGTGATAAGTGTCACTTGTTTATTGCCAATAAAGACACTTAGAAAGGCCTTATTCTGCTTCAATTTACGTATACTAAGTCATGAAATGTTCATAAGGAGAAAGTTCCATTTTTCCTCTGGGTTCATAAGTAAAGAAAGTGAGGCACAGAGTAAAAGTAAGTGCCGTACTCAAATTCACACAGATATAAAGTGACAGAGGCCAGGCATGGTGGTGCAGGCCTATAATCCAGGAACTTGGGAGGCTGAGACAGGAGGATATTATATTCAAGGCTAGCCACAGCAATTCAGCAAGGCCCTAAGCAATTTAGTCAGATGAGACCCTGTCTCAAAATACAAAATAAGAGCTAGGGATGTAGCCCAGTGGCAAAGTGTCCCTGGGCTCAAAGCACAGTACCTAATAATAATGATGATGATGATGATGATGATGACAATGATGACGACGTGACAGAGGTGGGACTTGAACCAGGCACTTTAGCTGTGGAATCCATGCTCTTCACCACTTCATTCCACCACGCTGGTTCAGTTGAGCTGGTTAAACCCCAGTCAGCTTGCTCTATCACAGTCTGATAAATGTGTATTGTCATTTGTCTCTACAACTTTGTTTTGCAGTTTCTACCATTATTTTCTATTTGCTTTGCATAAATTGGTAGACTTTTTATCTAGGCTATCCATATTTTAGTATTAACATTCCTTTATCACTTATGTAAATACTAAAGCTTTGACTGGACCCTTTTATTCCAACATCTACCTCATCAAAAAAGTATGATTTCCTTTCTGTTTTCAACGTATTCTTTGTAAGTACAATATCATGCTTGGGTTTTTAAAACTTTATTTATCAATATTTGTTTATGTATGTTTAACATATTTTGTATGTTTTTTTGAAAGGATCATTTTTAAGTATATTTTTTAGTTGTCAATGGATTTTTCACTTTATTTATTTTTATTCAGTGCTAAGGATCAAACCCAGGGCCTCACATATGCCAGGCAAGTGCTCTACCACTGAGCCACAACCTCAGCACTAACATATTATGTATATTTAACTGTTTAACTTTTACCAAAAGTGATTTTGAATCATCCACACTATTTTCAATACAATCTGAGAGTCTTCCCCCCCCCCCCCCCCCGCAGTGCTGGAGATTGAACCCAGTGCTTTGTGCATGTTAGGCTCTACCACTGAGCTACACCCCCAGCCCTTGAGGGTCTTATTTTTATAGAAGTTAGTACATTTGCATTTGTTATAATCATTCTAGTTTTAATTACCCTGAATTCCCTCCTCTGCTTTAATTCTTTTTCCATTTATATGTTTTCTATGTTGTATATTTTTCCTTCTTTAGTAATATTTTAAAGATACAGCAACCTTATCTATATTTATCACACTTAGAGCATGTCTACTTACAAAAAATGTTTTTTATTCTAGTTTACGCTTGAAAATAATAATCATTCAAAAGTAACAGATAACCACTTTGAATTCCCTCAATGCAATAAAAGCACAGAATTTCTATATTCCTCTTCCACTCCCTCTTTTTTTTAAATTTTTTTTTTAATATTTATTTTTTAGTTGTAGTTGGTTAAACACAATACCTTTATTTTATTTATTTTTATGTGGTGCTGAGGATCGAACTCAGGGCCTTGCACATGCTAGGTGAGCACTCTGCTGCTTAGCCACAACCCAGCCCCTCCACTCCCTCTTTTCCATTCTCCTACCTCCAGATCCCATAAGGAAGGAATATTATTTAGTATCCTTAAGAGCAATTTTCATTGTCTTTTTGTCAGTTACATCTTAATTATGTCCATTATAATAGTTGCTCATTGCTAACAATACAATAACAAACTTTCTCTAAATCTTGTTCTCTATTCAAAAGAACTTGGTAATACATTATAATTGTTTTTAGATGTGTTAAAGCTATCCATCACCAGACATGGTGGCACATCCTTGTAATCCCAGTGACTCAGGAGGCTGAGGCAGGAGGATTACAAATTCAAGGCCAGTCTCAGTAACTCAGTGAGGCCCTAAACAACTTAGCAAGATCCTGTCTCAAAAACAGAATATTTTTAAAATGGCCGAGGATGTGTCTCAGGCTAAGTACCCTGGGTCCAGTCCCCTATTCCAAAACAAAACAAAACAAAAAAGCTATCAAGCTATAAAAACTGATCTACATGTTTTTTCTATGTTTATGGATCTATAAAAGTCTTTCTATTTTAGGAAAGTGAGATAAAGAAAAGGGAATAGGAAATTCTCAACTAGGTAATTGGTCTCTAAGGCATGCCTTCACTTTTAAATATCTTAAAGATATCAGTCTACCTTTCCCAGATTTTTATTATGTTGTATTAAATATATATAAAGTTATTATAATTTGCATTCTTTTGAATACTTGTCTCTCCTTTGACCCTTATTTTTTAAAGATTACCAAATTATTAGCTAGGCATGGTGGCACATACCTGTAGTAATCCCAGTACTTGAGTAGGTGAGGCAGGAGGATCTTGAGTTCAAAGCCAGCCTCAGCAAAAGCTAGGTACTAAGCTATGCAGTGAGACTCTCTCTCTAAATAAAATACAAAATAGGACTGTGGCTGTGGCTCAGTGGTAGAGCACTTGCCTAGCATGTGTGAAGCACTGGGTTCGATTCTTGGCACCACATATAAATAAATGAATAAAATAAAAAGATCCATCAATATCTAAAAAAAAAAAAAAAAAAATTAATTTTTTTTAAAAAGACTTCCAAATTATTAAAGTTCAAATTTAAAACAGTTTAAGTACAGATATCATTCTCTGGTTGCTTAACCTTTAAAGGGTCATAAGTTTCTTTTTCTTCAATTGCAGGACATACTCTTACTATAATAATTAACTCTGTCCCACTCCTTTACACATTTTCCTTAGACACAATGATCTCTAAACCCTTTTAGTAAATTACTAATTTGTGTGTGTGTGCAATACTGGGGATCAAATCCAGGGCCTCACACATACCAGACACATTGCTCTACCACTGAGCTACTTCCTAGCCCTTCTGTTTTTTGGATTCTTTAGTCTGTTACCTGACCATGATTTGTATCAATGAGACTGATATTTTTGTTTTGTTTTGTTTTGTTTTGTTTCCAGGAATTGAACCCAGGGGTGTTTAGCCACTTAGCAACATTCTCAGCCCTTTTTATTTTTTGAGACAAAGTCTCACTAAGTTGTTTAGGGCCTTGCTAAGTTGCTGAGGCTGGCTTTGAACTTGCAATCCTCCTGCCTAAGCCTCCCTAGTCACTGGGATTATAGGCATGCACCACCATGCCTGGCTACTTTTTATTCTAATAATACTCTTACTGCCCTTCATCTCATATATTATCAATACAGTTGACCCACCCCCACTGGACAACTTGATTTCTGTGGACTTTACACCTTTTTTTTAGTTGTCAATGGGCCTCTATTTTACTTATTTCTATATGGTGCTGAGGATCCAGCCCAGTGCCTCACACATGCTAGGCAAGCGCTCTACCACTGAGCTATAACCCAGCCCAACTTTAGATCTTTTAAAATCTTGTTAGAAGAAATTTGCCCATTCTCTGAATTATGTTTCTTGTCACTTTAATTTCAGCTGTTATTGACTTTTTTTTTTTCAGGCTTCTTTAGGCTCTTTATAGGCTGATAAAACCTTTTACTCCCAGTGCTAGGGATAGGACCTAGGGCCCTCCCCATGCTAGGCAAGTACTCTACCACAACACAGCTCCTGGCTAATAAATTTTGTCTTCAGCTACTTTTGTTTTTAACTATTACAGGTCTTCTTTTTTTCATAGATTTTTCGATGGGTTTAATCAAATAAAGGGGTATTGTATACTATGTTCCATCATCTTTTCAGTTGATGCCTGTACTGACAATTTTGGTTCTGGAAAGCTGTTTATAGTCGGGCATGGTGGTGTATACCTGAATCCCAATTACCAGGGAAGCTGAGGAGGATCACAAGTTCAAGGCCAGCCTAGACAACTTAGGGAAACCCTCTCTCAAAATAAAATTTAAAAAGAACTAGGGATGTGGCTTAGTCGTAGAGCTCTTGCCTACTATATATGAGGCCCTGGGTTCAATCCCAGTATCACACACAAAAAATAAATAAATAAATAAGTACATACCTACATACATAAATCTTTATTTTCAGAGAGGCAGATTCCTGCTCTAATGGTCTTTCCCTCAACTTGCACCTTCCTACTGTTCTCACTATGCTTGTCCTCAGAGATGACCCAGGTACTCTCCCTTGATTACATTTCTTCTAACTCCTTATTATAACCTGTCTGTTTCCTTACCTATAAAAATTGAAAGTAACATGTAAAGGGCCTTAGATGTGAGGGCATTAAGGATCATATCAAACAAGCCCCAAGGGAAACAAAACTATGACTTTGAACACGATACATACACAGTAACAGCGTTCCGATTTCCAGTAAACAGTCAAGTTTGTTCCCAGTCGTTCATTATGGATGAGTAGCAAAGCCTGATCCATCTTCAGCTCCACATGCCTTTTTTTATCTAAGTCTAAATCTGATAAGAATAGAAAGAAAAGTTAAAAAATAAAAATAAACCCAAAAGATGTGCTAGAGACGAAAAAAGTACATCAGTAAGTGCTTCTCAAATACCTGCACTCTATAGAGTTTTAGGAGTCTCTAAAACATTGCTTTCAGTACACACGAATGTATGTGTGCATGCAAGTGCATTCACATACACACATAGGTACCCTTTGGCACAGATGCCTCTACTACAAACAAGGATTTGGTTGACACCATTCACATCCAGTGTGCAAAAAGACTGTGAAATGAACTTACACCCATCAAATGCTAAAATGAGACAGGCACTGAATTTAACAGTTTCCATATAATGACAACCTTGTGAACTAAGTATTTTCTCCATTTTTCAGAAGAATAAATTAAGGCTCACGAGAGTTAGATACAGCCTATCGCCACAGAGTTTTCTAATGAAATCAATGATCTAAACCCCAGTGGTATGTTTTCAAAACCCTGACTTTCCTCTATCATGTTACCAGTCTATGAGCTCAGCTTGGGCAGTTTGTTAGAAATGCAGAGCTCCAGCCCCTCTACCTCACCATGGGCAGGTTAGCAGGATTCCTAGATGACCTGTACATTCTTAAAAGTTTGAGAAGTCCAGCTCTTGATCACTTTGGTGTGGGGTTCTGAATCTCTTTGTCACTTCAATGACAGATTTGAGAGGGGACAGGAGTGGATTACACACTTGAAGGGTTAGAAGGTAAGCCTCAGTCTGAATGGAAGACCCACTGTTCTGATATTGAATCAGATGCACAGGCCCCCGTTTACTAGATGGCATTCTTAGGATAACATAAAGGTGACAGACATTCAGAATGTAGGGTGTAGTCTAATATGTATGAAGCCTTGGGTTCTATGGCCAGCACTGTAGAGGGAGGGAGGGAAGAAGGAAAGGGATGGAGGGAAGGAAAGGGATGGGAATGGAGGGGAGGATGCATACTCTATGTTTTGCTAATTTGGAAAACAAACTGAACTGATATTATCTGAAATTAAAGCAAAGTAGTTCATTTAAACCAACTGATATTGTGTGGAAGAGAAATCAATCTACCCTCTAGCTTCTAAGCAAAAGGAAAATAAGGAGTAACCAGCCAGGCGCAGTGGTGCACGCCTATAATATCAGCAGGTTAGGAGGCTGAGACAGGAGGATTTTGAGTTCAAAGCTAGCCCCGCAGTGGTGAGGTGCTAAGCATCTCAGTGAGACCCTGTCTCTAAATAAATATTAAATAGGGCTGGGGATGAATGCCCTGAGTTCAATCCCCAGTACAAAAAAATAAAATAAAATAAGCTTAACTATGTAATCACCCCACTAGAAAGGCATCAATTTAGCCTCTTATTTTGTAATTTGAAAGCCTTTTTCAGGCTTCCCCAATAACTCATCTGAATGGTTCAGAAATTTTCACTTTACCAGCTTAAATCCCTCATCATTTTTATCTTAATTTACCCTTTCTTTGCTCAGTGAAGACAAAACACACAGATAAAACTCTTAATTATCCAATGATACTTTTTCTTCTCTAAGATAAATAAAAGACTACCCATCATTTTTTTAATATTTATTTTTTAGTTGTAGTTGAACACAATACCTTTATTTATTTATTTTCATGTGGTACTGAGGATCGAACCCAGGGCCTCGCATGTGCTAGGCGAACAATCTACCACTGAGCCACAGCCCCAGTCCCAGCCCATATCCACCTTTTTTTTTTTTTTTTTTGATCTTCAGTATCCTTCTGGAAAACTTTTGACACACACAGTGTTTGGGTCCAGGGATACAACACAGTACGTTAAATGTGTACAACTCCCCAGAAGTCTAGTTTATTCACAAGCCTCTCCCCAGAGGATGATTTGATCTGGATCCAGGGATCTGTCTAGTCCACAAACTCCCTTAAGTCAGTGTTTAGGGCCAGGGGCCCAGGTAGTCCTATCACTCGGGAGGGTGAGTCACTTGCCTCTCTTCTCCCTCCTTCCATCCCCTTTTCCCTATCAGAACACAGGAGTTTGGGTGTCTTGTGTATGTGGAGTTAAGATTGCCCCCTTTCCCCAATCAGAATCTTGTAGGAGGAAGACATAATGAACTTCTAAAAAACATCTCAGCTGAGGACATTTTATATACTGACTTCCTCCGTCCGACCTCAGTCTTATTTTCCTGTACGCCCCTCCTTTTATAATTGAAAGGACTCCAAGCTATTATGTACTCTGCCGTGGGGGGAACACTTGTGCGCAGCACAGCTCATCACGCCCACAGGCCGGCCGTGGAGGGAAGCAGGGCCGCGGCGCACTCACCTCGCTGCTGCTCGGCTTCAGCGCCCTGCTCTGGGGAGCCGCCAGGGGCCAGCAGCGCGGCGCTCAGCATGGACGCCGCCAGCAGCAGCGCAGCAAGCGCCCACCCGGCGCCCAGCGCCCCGCGCATGTCGCCCGCCGCGCTCTCCAGCCGCAGCTTCCTCCCCGGCGCCGCCTCCTGGAACGCAACTCCAGCGCCGCCGCGCTCCTCCGCCCTGCGCTTCTTGGCGGTGGGCGGCCGCACGCCCGTCATCGCCTCCACTCGGATGCCGTCACTACAGAGGTCTGAGTCACCGCGGGGAAGGCGGAGGGAAGTGCGGGAAGCGGGGCAGACCTAGGGGCGGGGCCGGGCCGCCCTAGGCCCGGCCTCTCTAGGCCCTGCCCTAGGTGAAGCTTATTAAGTAAGAGCTAAGGTTTTCTACACTTTGCGGTAGTGTTTGTGTCTTCGGAGAAACAAAGACTCCTGCAGGCCAGGAGTCTTTGCTCCCCAATCCTTAACCATTTCCCTGGGCAACATTCTGCTAAATTCCTGCAAAAGACGTTCACCATACAAGTGGGTGTTAGAGGCCTCTGTCCACCGTTCTGGGGATACGACCCTTTAGGTAAGCAAGACTAAAGGGTCTTATCCCCCAACACACACACACACACACACACACACACACACACACACACAGAGGCGTTTACTATCTAGAGAAAGAGACACAACTTAAAAACCACCAAGTCTTACTACCACTTTGAAAATCGTGTTGTCAATCTCTGAAGAAGTTCAAGGCCTCTAGGAATGAGTATTCCTCAGATCCACTGGCTATGTACGCAGAGAAACTATCACTGTGTAAGAGGACGTGTGCAATACTTGTAGCAGTAGAAATGAGGGTGAATCTCAAAAGTAGGGGTGAGGGGGAGAATGCAGATTGCAGAATGACTTTGTAGTAACATAAATTGAGGCAAAACAATATGGTAAGTGTAAGAATATTTATACACATGTAATAGAACCGCATTGACAAACATGGAAAGATACACACGAAATTCAAGTAAAATTTCGGGGTAGGAAGAGAGCAGAATGGTAGGCCTACTTCAGAGTGGGCTTCAATTGGCAGCGTTTTATTACTTAAATTGGGTGATAAAAAGGTATATGTGTGCACAGTGTGGGACTTTTTAAAAATATATTTCTTTGCATACCTAAATTATTTGATTTTTTAAAACAGTGTGATTAGTGCCATATTAGAAGAAGGACAATGCTAAGGTAGCATTTGACAACATCTAAACTAGCCACCTGGAAATATTCCAGGAGGCATTTACCTTTGTCCTGAGGGTTGTTACCCAGGAGGAATGAAGAAGTGCATTTCCAGCAGAAGGAATAGCCTTTGCAAGAGCTCAGAGAGAACGCAGCTTACAAAGGAGCTGAAAGAAATCCAGTGCGACTGGAAGAGTTTTATGAAGGGAGTGTCAGGAGGTTAAGTAGACAGTATAGACTTTTCCCTAGGGACAGTAGAAAGCTGTTGATGACTTTTAAGGTGGAGAATGACTTTCAAGAAAGCAATGATCATGAACTCTCTCAGTCTCAAATTCAAATTATTTTTCTCAAGTGAAGCCCCTATGCCAGAATGTCAGGGAGAGGTCTAGTTACTCTCTGCCTTACTTTTAGTTTTAGGTAAAGTTATTGGGGAAGGTCTTAAACAAGGCAAAGATAGAGATGAGACCTGAATGAAGTGTTGAAAATCCCGGCAGTGGAGGAATACTGATGTCTGAGCATTCTAGCAAAGCCATTGCTAACCAGTCTACCAACCACTGCTGATCTGCTCAGCAGTAACCCTCTCTGGCCCAACCCTGGCTTGAACCCACAGGGTCATTGGGTGGATATACTCTATCAGAGGACAGCTCTTTCAACTTGATCACCACCCTCTATACCTTAGACAATCTGGAGTGCCTGTCTTAGGGCTGTATGTGAGCCATTCCCTCTACCTAGAACACCTTTCTCCACTCAGATATTTCATGGCTCCCTCCCTCTCAGCTCCATCGTTGCCTTGTTTAAGGAGACCCCCCCCCCCCAATAACTTCACCTAAAACCAAAACATCCTCCATCCCACATCCTACTTCATCTGCTTTATTTTCTTCATTGCACTAATTTCTGATATGATGGTATACATCTGTTTCCCTTATGTAAGAATGTAAACTCAATGAAGACAAGTAGTTTGTCCTAAGGGCAAATCTTCTCCATTAAAAGGTAATACATTAATGAATAGTTCCAAACTCTCGGACTTATCCCAACCAAGTTTGTTTCTTTTTTTTAAAAACATCAGAAATTTATTAGTTGCCCAAAACATTACATTGATCTTGACATATCATATATCATACATTTGTTTCAAATGGGGTATGAATTCTTATTATTCCCACATGAACAGATTGCAGGATCACATTGATTATACAGCCATGTTTATATATGCTGCCATACTAGTGTCTGTTGTATTCTGCTGCCCTTCCTATCCTCTTCCTATCAAGTTTGTTTCTTGCTGGCACTCACACAAGCTCACTCCAATGCTCCATTGCAGCAGGAGCTTCCACCATTACTGCAGCAGTGGGAAGACAATATAGCAAATCTTACACTGATTATTAAAGCTCCTGCTCAGAAGAAATGGATGTAAACTCCATCCACATTTCATTGGCCAAAACAAGTCAGATGGCCTCATATGGCCAACAGATGCAGAAAAGAACACTGAGCAAAATGCAGCACCTATTCAACCCTGAGCAAAGCAGAAACAGAAGAAAACTTCCTCGGTATGATAAAGGCCATCTACAAAAAACTTAGAACATGAAAGACTGAATGTTTTCCTTCTAGAATCACAAGTAAGGCAAGGACATTTGCCTTTAACACCTCTATTCAACACTGTACAGGAGGTCCTAGTCAGTGCAATAATGCAAAAAATAAAAAATAAAAATAAAAAGCATACAAATAGGCTCTGTTTGCTGGGCATTGTGGTGCATGCCTGTAATCCCAGGAACTTGGGAGAGTGAGGCAGGAGGATGGTAAGTTTGAGACTAGCCTTGGCAATTTAGTGAGACCCCAAGCAACTTAGAGAGACCCTGTTTCAAAATAAAAGGGCCGGGGATGTGGCTTAATTAAAAAGCACCCAAAGGTCCAAATTTAAGAATAAGGGAAAGGGACTTAAAAATTATTAGTCAATCCAGGTGTGGTGGTGCATTCCTGTAATCCCAGTAATTTAGGGACTGAGGCAGGAAGTTGTTGAGTTCTAGGCAGCCTTCCCAATGTAGTGAGACTCTGTCTCAAAATGAAAAATAAAAAGCCTCTGTAAAGCTCAGGGGAAGAGCACCTTTGGATCAATCTTCTGCACATAAAAAACATGTTGTTATTCCGAATTTGCATTTAGTCAGGCTCCACACATTACTATGATCATATGAATATCTTTCTCTGACATCTAATCAGAAAGCAAGGTAGATGTATAAACAGAGAAAGAAAAACTAGAAATAATAAGAATTTATATACATTTTTGGGACAAGAGGAAGGCCATGGAGGCAAACATATGAGGTTTAATAAGAAGCTTATTCCTATATCTTAGCCAGATTGAAGGCCAGGAAATTGCCCAGCTCTGATCAAACAGGTTACCATCAAACCAGAGTGTGGGTTTTGTGGTGGTGTCAGGTTAGGCATACATGTAGATCTCCTCTATGCTCCACAGTGAGTGTTTTAGATCCACGGTGTTTAACGCAGGCAGCACTCTTCGTCTGGAATGGGCACTGCAAAACCAGTCCCAGCAGTGCAGGTTTCAAGAACACCACAGGCCTGAGAGAGGAGCTGGCCAATTAAGCAGTCTGGATATGATGTCCCATATCCAGCCCACATATGAGCAAGTCCCAGCCTGTCCTGGAGACTCTAAACCCCTACACTCCACCATAGGAAAGCCTGGCCAGCTGTTGAGTGATGTACCCAAGGGCGTCTGGGGTGATATCATACCCAAAAGACTAGGCATCCCATTGCTGCCACTCACTGTTGGAAGGGTACTGAGTTTAAGCCCACAGCCTGGGCTGAGCTTCCTGGGTGGGTTACCCTAAATGAATGTGTTATGCTACCACTGCCCACCAGGGCTCTACATGAGGACTGAGAGGTGGCTCTAGAACTGCTGGAGATCTGGAGAGTTACACTTATTCCCTGCACCTGCTGTGTATCCCAGCTGGTGGAGACTGGAGTTGAGGCAATGCTGCCACTCTGATGGTGGTTCCCAGAACCAGGAAGCAGCCCATATTATGTTCCAAAATTTTTCTAGGAGGCAGGAGGGGACAGTGATAGGGCAGCCTAGGAAGAAGGGGTGGTATCTACAGATTCCTCTGGTGCTGCAGGCTAGGAGGAGGATGGCGGAGACACTGTGTGCCAGGTGAGAGGCAGTGCATGGTTCCTAACTGGGATTGCTATAAGCAGGGCAGTATTGCAAAGGCAGGTTCTCCATGGAACCCAGGAGGGCTCCCAGATGAGGGCTGAGGTGTGGTTAGTGGGACAAAGGATTGGTTCAAATGGGAGTTGGGGTGGGAGACCTGAGGTGTTGGGGAGCCAGTGGGCTGCCTGTGCTGCCTAGGGCCATGGACCTTGAGGCATGGGCAGGAGCTGTCATTGGAGGCAGGTGCAGTTGGAAATATTACTGTCATAGAAGAGGGAGTAGTGTCCATGGCCATGTCCTCAGACAGCACAGTGGAGGGTGAGTCAGGTGAGCAGAGGACTTGGCTGTGTGGGTGGGAGAGACTCTTGTAGCAGTTAAGTTGTGGCCAAGGCTATTGGGGGTGCAGGTGGAAGGGACTTGGAAAGGAATGAAGAGGAGGAGGAGCAGGAAGAGGAGGAAGATGAGAAGCTAGTGGTGAGAAGCAAGTGGAGAAGTAAAAGGAGGAGGAGGAAATGGAGGAGGACCAGGAGGAGGAGGAAGTGGGTCATTAGGAGGTGGAACAGATGGATGAGGAATAAGAGTGAAGGCACATGGGGGTTGGGGATTTCATTCTGCAGGGCTGTAGGGTTGGAGGAGAAAGAGAACAGGATATGAGGTGTGGGAAAGTGAAAAATGGGAGGTGCTACAGCTCTTCTCAGGTGAGGAGGGGCATGAAACAAAGTAGGAGTAACTCCTATATTGGGACTGGGCCTCAAGGGAGAATCAGAGTTAGTAGGATGAAACAGAGGAAGAGAACAAGGGATTCCCCACTACTTGTGACTTAGTGAGGGGAAGGTGGATAAACAGAGAGATTTAGGTGTCCAGCAGGCTGGAATTGCCAGT